GCTTTCCAGCACTGGTCACTACAAAATGACCTAAACCAATTTCGGTTACACCCAATACAAGCCAGTCGTCTGTGAATTATCTCATTGGCTTCTTAGAAAGCCAGAAGTTTGGGTGTTAGACAGCTTGTATCCTTTTAACATTGACTTTATATTTTAAAACAATGGAAATGCAGTTTTTCTGAGGTGATTTTTGTCGGGTTTTCGGTTAAACATCCGCAAAAGGACATTGCTGACAAATCAAAAATGATCTATGAGTTAACAACAGAGTTTCAATGCTAACTCAAACTTGACTAAACTGGGACAAATATGAACAAAATAAAGAACTTCACGGAGATTCCTGAAAAAATACCACGGAGATAAAACTAGGTGTTCCGAAACAATAAGCGTCTTCTACATCGTACGCGCAAGTAAGCAATGGTATATGTCCAAATGAGAACAAGGTAATCAAACGCGGCATGCTAGCGAGAGTTGAACACGCCCCAGTTTATGTTGCACGAAGAAATAGAGTCTCTCCTAATGATGTCATTGTGACCTCCCCATAACCTTCATTAACCTCATATCTCGAAAAAAAATGTTGTGAGTTATTCTTTCATATGTATCCATCTTCAACAACATTCAGGATGTCAGATATAAGTTCATAAATATCGAACCAATTGCGATATGTAAACAAAAATAATGGGGTAGCAGGAATGTCGCAAAACAGAAATGAAATGTTCAAATTAGTGAAACTGAAATCATCACGCTTATTATACAGCTTGATGGAAATCTGTCACAGTTGTTGTAGTAAATTATCGAGGTAAGCGGTTGATATATCAATAGAGAATGGGAATTTGATTCTATATATTGGCAACAAATCATTTATATATCATGATGTATTTCTTGAAGTTTTAGTTTCTGTTTCCTTGAGCTGACTCATTTTCAACGAATCGATTAAATATAAACACTAACAGTGACTAGACGTTCGTAATACAAATTGATACTTACATACTTATAAATGTACATATGATAAGTTATGAACGACACTATAAAATGACTTTTCTTCAATCTTTGACTTCAAAATATGTACATATGGTTTATTTCCAGCTATATGTTTGTAATGTGAATTCTAAAATTTGACTTTCGGTTTCAATGATTCACTGGACGTCATTATTCTAAATATATATCTTTATGCACTTATAATGTATTTATCAAAGATTTGGATACAACGTCGTTAGCATCTAATTAACAACGTAATGAATTATATTAAACACTAAATTACGTATATAAGAGACACATTAAATACTAAACTACCCAAATGATTTTAGGTAGTAAATGATATTGACTTAAAACTAACAATCATAATCGAGTACAATGTCTTTAAAATATATTCTTTTTTACAGTATAAGAAGACCTCAACTGCAACAGCTTTTCATTCAAAATAGAAAAAATATAAGATTTTATCTTTTTTCCAGATGTTTAACTGCCAATACTGTCAAAATAACACCAAAACGAAAATCAATAAATGGATAGATAAATCAAGCACCTTGGAGTCAATTATGTAAATAATCTATAACACCGATCAGAGGCAAAACTGAAATATATTCCCATATAGTTTTAGCTCAATAAACTATGAACTCCCTGTCCACAAGCCATTACATTATTATTACCAGCAGATAGGTCAGCAGTACCAAGATAAGGGTTCGGCATCCTTTTAACTGTAAATAAACTGTTAAATAGACAGTTATTAGTCAGTTTGGTTTAGAGATTGTTAGGAGTACACAGGTGAGAATTTCACAGGTAAGTTCATGTTAGATAATGTTTATGGGTTTATTATCGATGTAAGCATTGATGCATGTAGGTAGGTATAATTTGTTGTGCCTATGGTATACATGAGTGTGTACCTGTACAGGTATATACACCTTTGTATATACACCTACAAGACTGTTTTGCTGCTATACAGGTAAGAAATCTTTTATGTGATATTGTGACAATGTCCGCGAGACCGTGGGTTGTATTATATCTGACTCATCTGATAGGTAAACAGCCACATTTGGTTGTATATACGCCGGGGTGACACACATCTCGATTCATTCATAGAATGTAAACGCAACTACACACATGCTAGGAGTTTTAACTGTGATTCCTATCAAGGTAAGTACATTTGTATATTTTGACATTAGTTTATTTTATTTGTTATGTAATATATAACTTAGCATTATTTGGTTTATTATAACTAATATAACTATTACATATAAATGTTCTATATTGCATAATTTTTTTCATATATTTTTTTAAAAATAACATATTCACACATTATCGTGTAGAAATAAACAATTTAAATGCCCCTGTAAAATGCATTTCAATAAACAGATTTTTGGCAAATCAATCAAAGCGTTATCGTTACTGAACAACTAATGCATTACACAAACCGGAAGAGAGACAATTATGTTAAAAGACTTTATTTATGAAACTGAAGTTATCCAACTATGTAAATATGTTTGTGTTTGCTAAACTATCTTTAATTCCTGAAAATGTTATCACTATGTTTGAACCATATTTGATTACTACGAATGTATACAATTTTGGATTCGATGATTAAGAAAATATGTGATTCTGTCAGAAAAAAATACTTCAAAATATTGAACACCCTGTCAGTCATGTTTGGATGTAGTAGGTATATGATAGCCGTAATGTTTGTTTTGATATGTTAATTGACCGATGCACGCAGTGGTAAATGTTTTCATATTAACAATTGCTTGTGACAAGACTATTCAAACACCTGGATGTTAGTTTAGTTACATCTATGTCTCTTCTGTACCATTTGTATTAAAGGTACTATTCACATGTGTGTCTTCTGTACAAATGTTTTAACATTAACATCTTGCTAACCATGCGTTTATTTCTTTATTTTATGTTTTCACTATCAAGAGCAGTTATATATTTTTTGTTGTTGTTGGTTTGAGGAAATATAGGATAGAATAACAGTCACGAAGGATAGAGCTGTAAATTTGATATTTCTATCTGGTAGCGATGTCGCTATACAAAACTGAACTGGTACATGTGTACTACAAGGTAATTCAGACGAAATTTTTACACAAAGGGTTATGATGCTTACTGTATCTAGATTTATGTAAAATATCTCAGTAGTTCGTGTCTGTATAGTAAACAGAGTTTATAACCTACTTAACTTCCCAAGGTTTCAGCATTTTCCATCTCTTGCATTATTGCCGAATCCTAAAAAGGTGAATTAATTGTAAGATGCAGTTTAATTCGTCACTAAGCTTTAAACTGTAATTGATATTTAAAGGTGTGTTTTCTTTACCTTTGTGTCTTTAAAGCAATCCTTTACAGTGACTAAAATCATAAAAAATGTAAACATAGACGTACACTTTGGCTAGGTCTAACTGGTTGGCTTCACAAGTATCCGTCTAAATGAGCACTGACATCATTGAATAGAACTTATCAATAGACATTTCGACGGATATTAAACATAATATAGGTCAAACTATCCAGTAATGTACTTAGGGGATATTCTTAGGTGTTTTATAAAAAAAAATAGGCAAAACTGTTTAGAACAAAGGTACTTCTCAATGTCAGCCAAATCCTGAATGATCTCTATCACATCAGGCCTTGTGACATCTGTTGCACTGGCTAAACTTTAGTAAATCTATTCTGGTGATCTGTTAAGCTAAAATAAGAATAAATTCTTTTTCCAAATGTCTAACGGTCATTGATTTTTTATATATACACACATATAATCAGATTTCACATTAATTTGCAGCCTGATTCCATTACATCGCCATTTATTGTACCTTTGTTTTGTTTTTTATACTAATATCAAATCGATAACAACTGAAAATCTGGGCCAACGTCGGTCAGTTAATCCTGGTTAAACCTAAGTGATATGGAACTATAGGTATTCTGGGTTATAATACGAACTGGTCCCTTATCAGTACATTTGACATGTATCGAGTGTTTAAGAGGGGACTTTGACGCACGAGATTCTTTGCGCGCGCACAAATCCTAGATACGAAAATGTATAGGACTGTCAGATTCATATTTCATTGAATCTAGAAAGTTAAAAGATGGGTATTAATGTAACTAAACTGGCTTTATTCTCAGACTTTACAAAATGTGTTATCTTTTCATTCAAATTTCAGATTCTGATATCGGTTTTGTTTTACTAAATAATCTGTGTAGTAGATTTATTTGATAAAAGTACTTAGTATGCAAAAATCATTTCAAATCAGCCATACATTACACATGTTGCCTGACTGCAAATTAGCACCACACAGCAACCATAGAACATAACTTTAGTAAACTTTAATAACAATTGCCCAGCATGATAGTTTACAGCACGTTATCTATACATCTGTGTACAACATGTAAAGTTCATGATTCATTTGCATACAAAAGCGTTGGTGACATACTGGTTATCATAATATTACTTTTTCTGACTAGGTAGGGAATTTCGAACTTGGTATTTCCCAAACGTTACCCGGACATAAATATTTTTCAAGCTCTCATTGTATTGAATGACGTCAGCCGGGGAACTGTGACAACAGTATATGGGGTATAAGTTCTCTTGTCACATAGCGCGCTGCTCATTCCGAATGAGACTTACAACATTGAATGCTTCTTGCAACATACAAGTACCACTGATTACTTGAAATTGTTGGATATTTTCATGACATTTATTTATTACAACTTAATTGTCTTTTGCATGCAACTGTTATCTGTAAGTTGAATTAACTTCTTTTAATTTATCAAAATTCATTACATTTCTGTTACTTTTCAATTTTTACTAGATGTTATATTTCTTCAATACTACGTCATCTTAACCTTCATTGAATTGTATGAATAATCATAAAGCACAATAACTCCATTTAACAACTAATTGTTTTTTCCAAAATTATCTTGTTTTTCATTTTTTTAAATTTTTTATTCTTTTTGTTCTATCTGTCATCTCGTTTTGTTTGACTGAACCGTCATCGTAATTTTTAATTTTTTACAGTTTGAAAATGTACGGCGACCGACAACACACTCCATCTCCCGATATCTTCGGATTATCTGATAGCCCGGCCAGCTTTATATCCTCGACAACTGACCAGTCCAGTTTGGCCGACTTTGACCAGGATATAATGTTATTTCTGGACACGACAAACGACCAAGCAGTGCCGGACGTTGAAAATATTGAGCCATCGTTTGTTGAATCGATCTACTCAAGAATTGATTCGGAAAAATGTGAAGAATCAAGAACATTTACAAATCTTACGAACTTTACACAAGTTTGCACTATGTTGGGAGACTGTCAAGTTCAAGATCAGATACAATGCCACAAGTTCCCGCCAAGTTACGAAGAACACGTGTCGCGGTCTGGATTTCCCAGTGCCTTTTCCCCAGACGCGAGTATTGTCTACAGTGGAGATGTTGATGGATTTTCGCCTTCATCTGAAGATCATCATCGTCTTTCAGATATCATCTGTATCTTAGAGAAAGACCCTTGTTCCCCAAGTAAAGGTAGGTCGAATTTATATTTGAAAATTTTGAGGAAATATCGGACTATGTTAGTGCATTTTTTGTTATTGCACTATTTCACACATTGCAAATAGGTGTCTAGGTACACCGTTGTTCATATAACCATTATATTTTCATTGTTATCCACAATTATTTAATCATTTGCGTGGGTTCGTTCATCAAAGTCATTAAGCATGCAAACACGTGTGATTATATGTCTTTACTGAATAGCGGTGTCTAATCAAGCATAAATTGAACACTTTTGGGGTGAAAACCACTCGACCATGAAAAGGTCGGCTGGTACGTTGTGTAGGCCTATATATACCCAGTGATCAAGGAGTGTGCACAAGTCATAAACACTATACTTTCAAAATGTAATAAATGGGTTGGTCGTCTCATTGTCAGTGATGGATTCAGGTGAAATATGTAAGATACATTTTTAAACTATGAATATTTATGTACAATTTCAATTCCATTTGTATCTTGTCAGAACTAAGTATTGGATTTCGATGTTAAAATACTGTTACTAAACATTATTCTTTCGACAATCTGATGTCTTTTGTGTAAAATCATAGTTACATTAATATAAACACTTTCTTATTCAGTACAATATTCTATTGTGGATAATATTGTCCTTTGCAGTTCCTCCTCGAGTGTCTCCAAGAGCAACTCCAGAACTGTCCAGGGAAGATCATTTGAAACGTATCACTTCTCTCCTCGTTGGTATGTACATCAAATTTGTATTGTATAATTTTTATATAAACCATACCAAGAAATCATATAGTTTATAGACTTATAAAGATACAATAAAGATACCAGTTAATACAGATGTTTGTAAGTTATAGATTTAATATGAAGCGTACGCCATGGTATCATTTCAACATTGCATATTTTAAGCCACATTTGGGACAAAACAATATAATGTACATTAATATTAATACATTGTAGGTGGAGGTCAAATTAAACTATGGCAGTTCCTGTTGGAAATTCTAACTGAGAGTGGCCACGAAGAATGCATCAAATGGGAAAGTGGCGGAACAAGTGGAGAGTTCCGAATGATTGACCCGGAAACAGTAGCTAGAAAATGGGGTCAACGCAAAAACAAACCCACAATGAACTATGATAATATGAGTAGAGCACTTCGGTACTACTATGACAAAATGATTCTGACAAAGGTGGCGGGGAAAAGGCACACGTACAGGTTCAATTTCAATGCAATCATCCAATCCATGCAGAGTTCTTCCTCATCCTCAAACACACAGGCGGAACAGTTACAGAACTCCTTGTACAACGGTTCCGCTTCTGTTCCCAATCATCACTACCAGCCGAACCATCAGCAGGCGTTCCAAAGTAACGCATACACCACCGTCACCTCACATAACATGAACAATCGTGGTAATGTACAGAAAGCGAACAACATCCAAAGTGTTTCGAATGTACAAAACCTTCAATCGACTGGAATACAATCTATGCCGGACATCCTAACGAACTCTACTCCTAACGACAGAATTCCAACTACTTGTTATGATTTTGACGTAAAACCTTCCTTCAGCAGCTGTCGTTACGCCGATGTAAACAGAAGTTCGCCGCCTAGTCAGAAAGATGTAAAACCTCTCACATCTTGTCAATTTGCTCAAAATAACATATCTTCTTCCGGTATCTACACGTCACAAACCGCCAATAGTGCGAGTCTTCCAACTCGTACCTCTTCTGCTTCCGGTTATACCATCGGGTACTCAGCAGGCCGTGCGCAAACTCGAAACAATCAAAGTCACCAAAACCAAAACGGGCCTTCCATTTATCGATCGCAGCCGATGCCCATCCAGCGTTATTCACCATATCATTATAGTTCACACAGAACAAACAACTCATGGTGATATTTCAATGAACTATCCAATCAGCGAACAACATGAAATGTTGATGACTTTGAATAAAAAGCCAATTCAGAGAACTGATAGACTTGAACATTCGGCTGGCTAGCCGCTGCTTTTGGTATTGCTTTATTTTGTGAAGATTTTTTTTATAATTGAGAGAGAGAGAGAGAGAGAGAGAGAGAGAGAGAGAGGGAGAGAGAGAGAGAGAGGGAGAGAGGGAGAGAGAGAAAGGAAAGAGATTAGTGAAATATTGAGTAAAAAGGAGGACAAATGGGAAAATATAAATTGATGGCGGCACTTTTAAGTGCATTTTCTGATGATTTGTCAACTCGAGAAAAAAATCAAATGTACATTGATTCACTTCTATCGTTTTTATACCTGTTGTACAGTTAAATATAGATAAAGAATCGAGGCACTGCCCCTCTTCGGTAAGATATTGAATATCTGGTAAAACCGAATCCTTTTCATTTGCAATAATATATCTGCTTTTTTGTATACAAACCTACCTCAGTATGCAGGCATATTGAGTTTCCGCGCAGGTCGCGAACTACGATTGAGTTTCTCTTTTTTAACAGAGTATATTTTATAGATGTCTTTTTTCATTGCAGAAATCCATTAATTGATTTGCATTTTTGTCTCAAATTTCACCATCTTTTAATGACGAGGTATCGTTAAACTTAATGGAGTTTTAGGCTTAAAGTACATTACATTTAGTATCTTTAAAGATATTGTTTTGATTGCCTGATCTATGCTTTATGTAAGATCAATAAAAACATCAACACTGTAATCTTTTATGCTCGCATAATCATGCTACAACATATATATATCAATTTTCGTAAATAATGAACACTTAGTTGATTTTTAAGTGAAATCGAAAATTGATTGCCAAACAAATGACATGTAAATTAAAGAAGATGTAAGTGTAAAAATATATTTTTTAACAAAACGACATCTTAACTACAGCATACTAATACATATCTATTAACATTTATTTTTACACTAAAATTTAAATATTTATTTGTTTCTGAATTCATATCATAATTCAGGCGTTTAAAACATATGTTTCCAATTAGGAAATTATTACATAATTGTAGGCAAATGATTTTATAACAGGAACTGACTGAAAGTTAGAGCTTGTGATTGTGATTACTTTTCATGATAATCAACAGAATGGCCAGTGTCATATTACAATAAATGGCAAAAGTCGAAACACACAGGAATGTAAATAAGTAGGCTGTTAAAGAGAAAGACAAGCCAACAAAAATCATAAATGATACATTTTGGATTATTCAGTGCTTTAAAAGCGTTGTGCTAATAGTTCTTCATATTCAAATATGTTTTTAATTTATTCATGGACATGTAAATTACTTTGTTGCATTGATCCAAATGGTTGCCATATATGCAATGTTGAAGTTTATCTTTGTAATAAAAATACAAGAAATAGATCACAGTGTTTTATGTCGTGTGTAACTAAAAACCAACTTTTGACAATACAGAGAAAAAACAGACAGACAGACAGACAATAGCATTTTTAACGGACTTGCATCTTGTGGGTTACATATGTTATTATAAATCTAAGGTGTTCCAAGGTTTTTTGAAGGACGGTTGGATTGATAATTACATTTGATGTTTTTGTGATATAAGCGGCAGTAAGTGTCAACGTATTTTAATAGAAAGTCTTTTTTCTGAAGTTTCGATAGATTGAATAAAGGTTACTAACCTTTGAGCTTTGTTTCTATGCCCTTCAGGTTTTGACTACATCTTACTTACGACAACTCATTACTGGATTATACATTACGTACACATTAATGATCATATCGTTCTATCAAAGGTTATGACATTTAAACTATCATAATTTATGTATTTTTAAGTAGTTCAATAATAGCTTTCATTGAAAATTTCCCATGGCCATCTGATGAAACTACATGAAGCCATAACAAACTTTAATTGAAGGTAGAAGCATACATTAGAAGAAATTCCGAAAAGTGAACAAAATGGAGTTTAGAAATTCCTTTGAAATGAAACGTTTAAATGCCTAAGTAATTGCGCGAATGCTGATCAATCTATCTTAAGTTTGCGATCTCGATGTTAAATATACCGTTTGTTGATATCTGTGTTAGTCACCCAGATCAGGATTGGTTGTAAAGATATTCGGGATTAGTCAGTGACCACACAAAATCCTATTAAATGCCTTGTGTTTTCCCATGCATTGCAGTTGAAAGGCTACCTTCTCTAAAAAAACACTCATCTGTCTTTTTAATACCAAACGAAAAACATAGTCACGAAAAACCAACTAATTATCCCTAATGTAACAATCATGTATTGTGCCTTGGCAGGTTTGAAAACTTTCATCGTAATTCAGTTCCTTTGAATAAGTAAACATCATGCATCATTTGTTGCTGTCTTAACGTTATTCTATATTCTCAAACAGACTAAATTGTATTGAAACAAAAATTCCCGAAACAAACTAAAAGCTGCAAAATAACCACAAATAAATATTTATTTCCCAATGTTTAAGGTATTTTAGAAGCGACAAAATATAAGAAAGAGCAATAACTGATAGAAAAAAGACGATATCAGTTTAATGTAACAAATATCTTTTACTTTGCTGGCATGATCATCGTTTAATTTAATTTTTGATTTCATGCTGCAATCGTTGATAGAGTAGCTATGGGTAGTCTCCTTATCTAGAAATATAGACAATATTGAAACATTTTCCTACATTAGAAAAAAATGCTAAAACAATGATTCCTCAAAGACTTGTATACATCAGTTAGTTAATTATAGACTAATATACCAATTAATTTGCAGTAATCTATTTGTAGTGTGATAGATTTTAATAAGTCGTGATCGTCTTTATTGTTACCCCCCCCACCCCCCACCCCTCCACCTTTCATTAGATATGGATGAACATTACAAACCTTTAAATCATTTGTCATCGAGATGGAATTTACCTCAGACATCACATCACCTTATTGCAAGTATTTTTCCATAGGAAAGTATTGTATATATTATAGAAAAAAAATGAAATATGTTCTATTTTTCTGTCAAGGACACTTGGATTCCCCATTGGGTTTTTATTTGTGGGATTCCGTGTCTTTTCCCTTCGGTGCCTCAGAGTCATCGGTTCCGGTATTGTAGTGCTAATGTTGTCATATTGTGTTTACCACTTGCATTTTTGCATTATACAGTTACACTGCTGCACAATTTCTCAGTATATGATTTACACTTCTCAGTAATTTCACTGCATTTAATCATCGAAGATTTTAACGCGAAGGTAATATATTATTTTAAACGGCATTGCTTTTAAATAAGAAAGAAGCACACTATAGATAGTGTGTTTTTCACCTACATGCTAGCTTTATCAAGGAATCGAATTCATGAATGAAAATTCTCAACCTTTTTCATCTATAACAGAACAAGTAGCGAACTTCCTACAAATTAACATTAAACTGTTTTTTTTTCCGTTTTTATCACGTTCATGCGTGGATATGCACGTCCCCTTGTAGTTGGATAGTACTTGACATTTTTAACCTACAAGCCCGTGTCATTCGCTTTGTTCTAAAAGTCCAGAAGGAAAAAAGTGTCTGCTGTCTTGGTTTTTCCATAGTCTGAGTCATGTTTGCTTATGATAGAATAACCTCTCATAGTATCGCTTACTACATATTATGTACCTCAGGCAATGGAGCCTCGTTTTGATAAGATGATCAGGGTCATACCGTACACTTTGACTCATCTATCAGATATACTAACGATGCCTTATATATCAGTATTCACATGTCGACTTATCCTCGCAGGTGCTGGCGTGTTCAGACATTTTATCTGATTATCCTAGGTACATTGTTTCAATTACGGAAATATATTTTTCACGATGTTACCAGTACTTTCATTCATACATTTTGACAGGTGTATATAAGTAAAAAACTCATTTTTTGTACTCAATTTTGGATCTTTTGTTATCAAAAAAGGAAGATAAGGTACAGGATAATATACATATATATATCATACCACCCATAGTGAACGCTCGCGTATTTACGTATCCTATTTACAACGTGGTAAAACATGTTGCGAACTCATCTGAATATAGAATTATATAAAGACCTTGCTAAGTTTTTCAATATATTGATGAATCTTCTACATTAGCTGGGTATCTCGATCTTTTTCCTACAGAGACCCCAACATGGACAGCTTTCCATCATTATCATTCCATCATCCTTATTTTGAATTTTCCATTTCTGGAAATCAATATCCCTGCATCGCCAAACCATGGTTTTTATTTGTCACAATTGATTCAGCATTCAAGTGTCTGCTCCCATTGTCGCGATTTTCGTGTTAGAAGTCGTCAACTAACTGAGAAACTCGTAACACATGGGTTCAAAAGATGCAGGTTGATGAAAATAATGAGGACGTTTTAAGATCGCCAAAGTGGTCTCATTGAGAAATATTCTATCTCTTTGTTTGACATGAAGCTGGACTGATATGATGCTTGTCAGTTTACCTGTTGGTTCCGTTGTTGTATACCTTGTTCTCATTGAAGAACGTGACATTACTTACTTGGACTGACCAGGGTTTACATGGCGGATGTCGTCGACGTAGCAGAAGACGCTTACTCTTCCGGAACACTTGGTCTTATTATCTGTGTACTTTTTCAGGAGTCTCCGTGTAAGTCTTTCTTTTGGTCTATATTCCTGTTTAGAGAAATACCAAACATAAAAGTTCATGCCAGAAATGGAAAATTCAATACAGCCTATTATAATATGATAGTGAGAACATTTTAACAAGACGTCTTCATACAGATTAACTGAACACAAAATATAATACAACAATACAAAAGAGCACTACTTTTTTATAACGATTACTTAAAACAGCTCCATGAATTGATCATAATGATGATAAACTCGATGCGTGATTAAGAACAACAAGATACACCTGTTGTGTAACGTTAACCAGCACAACAAAACTGAAAGTAATGATCTTGATGTTTATCAGATTAATTTCATGTC